AGAATCATAGAATCATTAAGGTTGGAAGAGACCTCCAAGATCATCGAGCCCAACCGTCAACCCAACACCACCATGCCAAAACAACAGTGTGCTATAACATTATTCTCATGCTAAATCCAAAAGGCATTATGCCAGCTACTAGGAAGAAAATTAACTCCATCCCAGCTGAAACCAGGACACAGGAGAAGGTTGTGCAGAAACTTGACAGTACATTCATGAATGTATAGAAATCAAGGGCATGGAACACTTAAGGGGTTTTCTTCCTTTTGAAGAGCCGTGCAATGGACTAAATCACATCTTTAGAAAAAAAATCATTATTGTGGTGGAAGGACATGAGGGAAGAGATTGGGGGGCGTCTGTGTGAACTCTTGTTCAAGTAACTGCTTTGCATGTGAGCTAAAGGTTTATTCCATACTTCTGATAGAGACTGTCCCTTGGTGGAAGCATCTAGATCTGATGTGGTGCTAGGAAATGAAACATTGAGATCTTTACATAGGTGAACTGAGAGCCCACCTTCTCCTATCAAATCATAACCTCCATGGGTAACATACAGAAGGAAAGGACTCCAAGAAAGCTGCTTACCTTCCTGTAAACGGAGCCCTCTGAGATACATTGGCAATACATATATGCTGCCACTTTCTTAATACTGAGGCATTCTGTAGGATCTGGACTGTTGGTGGCAAAGGAGCTGAGTGACAGGTGAGCTTGCTCTGGGAGCAGGGTGTGAGGGTATTCAGAAACCATCCCAGTGGCCAGTGTTGGCCAAAAGACTCTGATCTGGAGTAAAGATATGCGTGGTCACTAAGAATAGGATTCAGCTCCAAGGTGTAGTTGTCTACACATGGGTACCTGTATATGAGCTAGAGGCCTTAATTCATGCTATTATCAGTGGGGGCTCAATTCAGTTGCCTACACATAGATGCCTAGTGCTGTTTCGGGTGGTCTGGTTACCCCAGCAGTGCAGGTTTCTTGAAGATCTGGAGTCCTATCTGCCAGCTCTATATGGATGCCTTGGATGCTGGAGAGCATCTCGGATGTCACCTGTGTACATGCAACTGATTTGAGCCTTGAGATCTTTCAATGGAGTCTGGAGAGCCATTCAGTTGATAAGGTCCAGGTGTCTACTTTAATGTGAGCGGACTCCAGCAGAGCTGAACTCTGTTACTAGCTTAGAAATCTAGCTCATATGTAGGCATGAACATTTAGACACCTACATTTAGGGTGGAATTTATATCCAGATTGGAGACACCTAAGTGTGGATTACAAATGGATGAGTTTTAAGGACTCTGCTTTTCATAAGGTAAGTGGGTTTTTCGACATCCCTCCTTTTCCCAGCTGTTCCCTAATCACTTGATCCTGCTTCTGTTACAAGACCTTCAATTGCCGTATTTAAACATTTTTTGTAGGCTCTCATGTAGTTATGGAATGTAATATATCAAGTGGCATAAATGGCTTGATTCCATTCTGGCAAGTTAATGATGAGGATGTTGATAGCTTTGATAGCACCTACAGGGAACAGTTTTATGAGTAAGTATCCTTATACATTGAATTGTAAGTGCGTTTCTAGGTGAAGTAATCTGCAATAATTTGCAGTGAATTCACCATAAAGTTGACTACTAGTCAAATGTCGGTAGTCGCTGAAAGACTGATTAGAAGTCTGCATCAAGTACACTATGTTCTTATTGCTTGGTTTAAAAAAAAAATTATTATAAATACTGATGTATCTGATACAAATGTAATGAAGCAATCACATGCAGGTTTTTGTAATGCTGTTGTGAAACATATAATTTTGTAAGGCTTATTTATGCATTTTTCTTACGCAATCCTTTTTGCTAATAGATTAAAGCCTGCCCTCTATCATTAATATGGGAAGAATAGATTGTTCCAAGACAAAAAAAATCACCCCACTTATTTTTATTTGTGAAGTTGGTCCTTTTCTAAGTACAGACACAACTGGTGATCCTCAAGAACGCAAAGCAGAAGCTCTTGTTGCAGGACACTTAGGGGTTTTTTATGCTCAGGAAAATGAAACACAAATTAGGCTGATAAAACCAGCAATTTCTTTCGAGAGAGCAGAACCTTTGTTACTCAGTGACTGGTCTATGCTGTAGCAGAGTGTGGATGTGCTGTTTGCTTTCTCATTGTATCAATCACTGCTGTTAAATATAACCCTTAAAATGTAGTGCAAAGAAGAAAGGAAAAAAAAATCTCAGCTGATCATTTCACACTCATGCAGAAGCATTGCTGTCTGCACAAAGTGCTGTCGGTGCAAAATATGGCTAGAGAGTTAGGTTATGGACTGCTTTTAAAATGATCTTTTTCATTCATCTGTATCTGGCCTCCAGAAGGAATCGTAGTTCTACTTTGTCCCCAGGTTCCTTTAGCGGGAATAATTACTTTCGTTATAGATCTGTATACTTGGTTGTTTGCCTATAAATATTAGGGCCCCAGCTTATCGTCTTTAAGGCACAACTGAGTCCATTATTCTTTAGGGCATGAAGCTTCTCAGCTTCACCAGTTAAGACACACATGCAAGTTTGTGTAGCTATGTTGAAATTATAATAACTGCAGCTTCTTCTGAAACCAACTTGGTGCTGCTATTAAACACATCTTCCTGAAAAGCATTTAATATATTCAATTTAAAACAATTCTCTGTTAAGATTTTTGGCTTGCTTGGAAGTGATCTCCATTTCTAATCACTACCCTGCCTGATAATTTTCCCATGCCAGAGATGGAGATGTGCAAAATACATCCTGTGCAAGTTCTAATTAGGATTAATAGTTCAAAGTAAGTTATCCAGTATCAGAGAAATGAATCTAATTGCAATAATTATGTTTTCTTTCAAAAAATAGTAGCAATTTCTCAGCAATTAAATTTGTGGAGCATTTGCTAGTAGCAAAGCACACTGTAGGCATGGCCAACATTATGGACTTGAGGGCTTACACCTAGGAGGTAAGTCTTTCCTCTGCTGGGAGGAAAGTTAAAACTTACTTGAACAAATCTGAACATGTTGCAAAATGATGAGGTTTGTGTTGGCATCCCATGACAGAAGTTGCTGGCAATTATGTATGTAATAGAAACTGGTTCTTCAGGATGTTCTGCAACATGAGTTTTCCTCCCAGAGTACATAAGGTCGTGTCACTTTGGTATACAGGGTAGGATGCCAGTTTGTAGGTACCTTCCTACTGCAGTCCCTCCCCCCTTACACTTGTAAATCTACCTTAGAGCAGGATGGTATTTAGCAGGGTAGCATATTATATCTCCAAGCCTCTTGCGGCAATAGATAGCAGACATAAAGGCAGTATCACCATGTTTGTTGTCATTTGGCACCAGGGTCACCCAGCTTTTGTGAGTTTTGTTCATCATTATTTCCCAAGTTGGTTGGCGCCATTGACTGTGGACAATGTGGGCTCGGGGAGTCTGTTAGTATGCTTAGAAAGGTCTCTGCTTCATCATCAGTATAAAGAATCCTGGAAGATGATTTTTCTCCTGACACTTTTATTACTGGTTTGAATAGTTTTTCATTCACAGGATCATTTAGGTTGGAAGGGACCTCTTGAGATTGTCTGGTCCAACCCCACTGCTCAAGCAGGGTCAGATAGAGCAGGTTGCTCAGGGCTCTGTCCCATTGGGTTTTGAATATCTCCACAGGTGGAGACTTCACAGCTTCCCTGGGCAACCCGTTCCAGTGTTTGACCACCCTGACAGTAAAAAAGTGTTCAGGTGGAATTTCGGATGGGAAAGTGTTTCAGTTTGTGCTCATTGCCTCTTGTCCTGTCAGTGGGCACTACTGAAAGGAGCCTGGCTCCCCCTTCTCCATGCTCTCCCGTCAAGTATTTACACACAGTATTGATAAGATCCACTCCTCACCCCCTGCCCCCAAGCCTTCTCTTCTCCAGGCTGAACGGCCCCTGTGTATCTCTCATATGACAGATGCTCCACTCCCGTAATCATTTTCACGGCCCTGCACTGGACTTGCTCCAGTAAATCCATACATCTCTCGTACTGGGGAGCCCAGAACTGGTCCCACTACTCCAGGTGTGACCTCACCAGTGCTGAGTAGAGGGGAAGGATCATCTCCCCCAACCTGCTGGCAGCGCTCTTCTTAATGCAGTCCAGGGTGCCTGGGGACTAGTTATTCCTCCTCAGGTGCAGGATTTGCATTTTACTTTGAATTTCATGAGGTTCCTGTCAGCCCATTTCTCCAGCCTATCAAGGTTCCTCTGGATGGCAGTGTGACCCTCTGGCATATCAGCCGTCCCTTTGAGTTTTGTATCATCTGCAAAACTGCTAATGGTGCACTCTGTCCCACCCAGCAAAAAAAAGCCCAGCAACCCAATGCGTGTGGAAAATGCCAAGTCACCTCTGGTCATGAAGCTGTTTGTTACGGGGGTGATACTTACTGTGCTTCACTGGCTTCTTAGGTTTATAGAGGTAAAAAATGAATGTTCTTGTATTTGTGGATAGATGAATCTATCCTGTATTAAGCACTGATATTTCAGTTTCTTTACAGATGTTTCCTTTTTTACCCTTTTTTAATGACAGAGAGGGGATGCCTCATGGTCTTGCTGTATCTGGAACAAAATTTAACATCTCAAAAGTGAAAGTAAAGGATTATGCTCATAAATTTTTCTGTCACTTCATATATGGTACTGAACAATTTACAGCCTACATCAAATTGGAACGCCCAGGTAAGAGATCTCATCTTGATAAAATGGTGATCAATGATGCTTACTGCTCAGTTAGTTTGACAACACCCTACTTAGAGATAAAACTGCATGATGTACCGTTGTGCAAAGTGGGCAATGCAGCTCAATACCTTTCTTTGTGAATTTTTTGTCGTATTCTTAGCAAAATTAAAGAAAATAGCACTTTTAATTTGCTTTGTCTTCTCTCATTCAGTGTTTTAGGAAACATTAATGAAAGACTGCAGTTTATTTGAAGCAAGTATGAGACCTCAGTGGAATACTGTGCTTCATTTTACACACTTGTACTTAAGGAAGCGTGTAGATCAGAGGAGATTGTGTCTAGAAGAGCAGTGAAAATGGCCAATTCTCTAAAAGAGCTGGGGGGAAGACATAACTAAGTGTGGAACAGACTGTCATAAGGACATGAATGTATATATCGACCTGGTTTTCCTGTCCTTCAGTGCCAAATAATGGGCTCAGATTGTCAGGAGAAAGAGGAAAAAAAAAAAAAAATCTATTTATATAGTAGGAGAAACTCTAACAGTGATGATAGTGAAGGAATGAAATAGATTCCTTGGAAAGGTTATGGACTTGCCATTACTGATGCATGTGCTGTGTTACCACCTTCTAGATAGGCTCATGCATGTTGATTGGGAGCATCCTGCCACTTGTTGGAGACCCCAGATCTCTGAGGTCTTGTGCTCAGAGACAAGGATAAGTTTGACCTGTTACTGGCTAGCATGAAATTTTCTTTTTAGTAGATGAACTTAAAGGTAAAGTGAGCTTTAAAAACTCAAATGCAAGGCTGAAGAAATGAATTCTTTTTATTTAAAAACAGATACACAGAAAAGCACATCACCAGATATAAGTGCCCCCTTTTTTTTTTTTTTTAATTTAGCTGCAGAAGATTCTCTGGTCTATTGAGTTTGTATTGAGCTGGCTTTGTCAACTGTGAGCCAATCCTTTGACAAACATTGATTCTCAAACTTAGCTTTAACTGGCCACACTAAACAAATAATTGACTGAAAGTGGATCTGAGCTCTAGCTTGTTACATAACTGTAAGTTCTTCATAAAGATCGTCAGGGTAGGATTTAACCTCAGAAATCCTTTAATATGCATGAACTAAAAAACGCAGTTTGTGGAGGGTCTTTGTTCCTTTTAAGGACAACAGATCTATTAAGGACAACAAATTAGTAGGTTCAATGACAGGTCTTTGAAGAGGCTAGACACAATGGAAAGCTGGTTGGTCTGGGCAGAATAGCATGGCTGGGAAATCACCTCCCCACCTCTGACTTTCTTGCTTTCTGACTGATAAAATTTTGTATAAGAATTCTCACTCTACTGCTGCACTGGGATATACGTCAGTATTTTGGTGTTTCAGCTGAAGAGTAGCCTCACTTGTCACATTGCTCAGGTATCTTTTCTCTGAAAGATAAAAGTAGGCTTGTCAAGTAACAGTATTTGCAGAAAGCATACATGAAAAACTTGCAGTCCTATTCATTCATCCCTTTTTTTTTATAATATTTTAATGACTAAACAATTTTCAACATATCTTTTGTCTTTCTTTGGTTCTAGTGTGTAATTGTTTGTTTGTTTTCTCTCTTCTTATTCCACGCTACCGCAGCTCAGAACATTCAGTGTTACTTAATTGGAGGAGGAGTTTCTTTGGTATTTTTAGTATTTTTTACTCTCTTTATCTACAAGATCTTCAAAATTGATATTGTGCTTTGGTATCGGGACTCCTGCCATCCTTTCCTGGGTAAAAAAGGTATGTTTGTGTAACAGTGCTCTGTGTTGTAATGAGCCTCCACCTTCCCTTGCAAAGCAATGAGTTAACCTCATGGAGTGTGATGGGTCTTCCTGGGGATTTTTGAAAGGATAACATGTTTTTAGGATGTTTAGAATTAGTTCAGATAACAAAAGCATCTACAGGGGAAAAATCAGCAACTTTCCAGGAATCCAGTACTATCGTTCCTTTCCCTGAAGACCCGCTTCAGTGGTTTGAATGCTGTTCTGACAGCAGTTGTTGAGACTTCTTTTAATTACTGTTCTTACAGAAAGCAGTAATATAGTGGAATTGTTGGGTGGTTTTTATTTTCCATAGACGAACCAGGACAAATTTCACTTTCTTTTGTTTTCTGTTTGAAGGCACTTCTGATTATTTTACTTTCTGTAAATTCCTGGCATTCAGAAAAATGTTGATGGGGTGCTGTCTCTGGGAGTATGTTGAAGTATGGGTCATTTCCAAACATCTGAGAGGAGGTGCATGGCTAGAGAAACAGAAAATATCTTCTAGAGGTATTGAGGTTCTGTTAGATTTCTTTGAAGTCTTTTAAATTTGGTCTTTCTGAAAAGTTTGTTCCAAAATATCTAATACAATTCAGACCTTGAAATTTGCCAAATGCTTTGGTTTTGTTTTCATGTCTAAGTGGTCGCTGTGTTTTGAAACTCCAGGTTACAGAAATGACCTATGAGTTACATGGCAGCTGGAATTTTAAGTATTCAGTGTTAGCACTATTTTCCAGATAATTCAGTGCTAACATTTTTTTACTTAGAGTTCAAAAAAGAATATTCAAACCTGCTTAATTTTGCAGGTCTCTCTTGCCTATTCAGATCCAGCATACTGAATTCTAGAAGGCCTGATTCTACAAATCTTTCAGGCTTAGTATAATTGTATCTGCTTAGATAGTAGCAGGATTAGGACCAAAAATAATGATTCAAGTGGGGAAAAAACAGAGTTTGAGATTTTTTGTTTGCTTGCTTGCTTGCTTTTGTGTCTTTAAAATCCATTTTTTCTATTACTTCTATTGCTCACTCTTTAGTTTCAGATGGGAAGATCTATGATGCTTACATTCTGTATCCAAAGAACAGAGAGAGCTGCTTGTACTCATCAGATATTTTTGCTCTGAAGATACTGCCAGAGGTCTTAGAAAGACAGTGTGGATATAACCTCTTCATATTTGGGAGGGATGATTTACCAGGAGAAGGTAAGCTATCTGAAGACAAATTACACTCAGGTTTTCTCACTGGCAGCTGCAAATACAACTCTGAAACAGGCATTCAATCAGATGCGATTCTAAATACCTCCCACCATCGAATGAGCTATGATTTTCTTACTCTCTCTGATGGAGAATGAGAAATGCAGCACTGGGTGCTCCCATGAAGTCTGTTTATCTCAGCCTTTCCCTTGTCATTATTTAGCTCTTCCAGGTTTTTATAATGTCTGGCTAGCCTAGACACCTGGAGATGGAAGGATGCCGAGGGGAAGAAGAGTTGAAATTGTGGTTGTGAATTATGACTCATGGCAGGAAACATGGAAAAGCAGGTCTCGTGAGTGGCGTGAAAAAAGCCCTTTGCTTTGAGGTGCCATTTGATAGGATGACCTCTCTACTGTTTCATTTTTATTTGCTCTGAGAATTGCTGTCAAACCAGCGGGATGCAATAAAGGGTATAATGGATGCTTAGACAGTGCAGGTGGAAAAAAAAAAAGAATACAAAGCAACGCTAAGTTATCAGGAACGATCAGCTGTATCAAAGACTACTTGTCCCTAGTGAAAGTTCTTATAAAGCATTGCCTTCCTTGCAAGGCTTTAAAATCCTGTGGAGGTTTCCTCTGTGTGCATATGTGCATCGAATTTAAATTTCTCGCAACTGACACTGAAAATTGCAAAGTCTGTCCCACTGACTGCTTATGTGAGGTGACGTGGTGAAAGTCGTCTGAATCCTTCCTGGTCTTATGACTTTAAAAAGATAATACTAAGACTGAATAAATTTGCAGAGTAGGCCTTAAATAGAAGTTTTTTTTTAAAAAAAAAAAAAAGGGGTGTGAACAAACCTACGTGAGGTAGTTCGTGGATCACTTTTTTTACATCTGAAGGCTTTTGATAGTGGTTTGAGAAGGAAGGGTTCCCTGAGAAGTAGAATCTAAAGTGCTGCTTTATTTTTCCAGCTTGAAAAAATGCAATAGTCTGTCAGGGTTAACCCACATGGTTTTTGTGTGGTATTTACCATATTTTTCTGTTTTGGAATTAATTGTCTGGAATGCCATTGAAGGGAGGATTCTTTGCTTTCTCTTCCACTTTCATGTAACAAAAAACAGTTAAGCATATCGGAACAGGCCATTTAAGGAAAAAGGTCATGGTTTTATCTAGGCCTATGGTTTTGGAACTTGTTTTTTTGCAGTTGCACCTATGATGGTAATACAATGGCATTAGCGAGATAAGTAGTAGATAGTTGGTAGCTCTTCTCTTTTTATGCAAAACAAGAATACAGACATGCAGTCTGATGGGGTCAGATTGTGTTGCATTGGCTAAATCTCTACTTGTTGACTAACCCACTGTAACTGCTTGCATGCTCTTACCCTGTCCCTATTTGTGAGGTAAAGTGTGTTGGCTCAAATGTCGAACGGTGAATGAACCAGCTGCAACATGTTGGTAACAAAAAATAGAAACATACAGCCTTAATTTTGCACAACCTTTTTCTCTACAGCTCTGATCAGCACTGCTGATGAAAAAATCCGTCAAAGCAGAAGAGTGATAATTGTTTTAGTACCAGAACCCTCCTGTTACAGTATTCTAGAAGACGTGTCTGAAAAGCAGCTAGCCATGTATAATGCTCTTATCCAAGATGGCATTAAAGTAATTCTCATTGAACTTGAAAAAATACAAGATTATGCAACCATGCCAGAATCCATCAGATATATTAAGCAAAAGCACGGGGCTATCCGATGGAAAGGGGACTTCTCAGAAAGGTCTCACTCAGCACGTACCAGATTCTGGAAGAAAGTGCGCTACCACATGCCATCCAGAAAAAATGGATCTTCATCAGGATTGTGCTTATTACCAAAAGACTTTAATTCTCCCTAAATAACAAAGGAAAAATGACACTTAATGACTGATTCAATTCACATAGTTGGTGATGGATTGACTGAAGGTCCCATGTATCTGTTTTGTGCAGACAATCTTACCCAAATTTTCTGTATTGAAGGTACTACAACTTCGTCTGCAGATGTGAATCATTTTCTCTTCTGGCTAGATCAAGTATAATGGATGCTTAGACAGTGCAGGTGGAAAAAAAAAAAGAATACAAAGCAACGCTAAGTTATCAGGAACGATCAGCTGTATCAAAGACTACTTGTCCCTAGTGAAAGTTCTTATAAAGCATTGCCTTCCTTGCAAGGCTTTAAAATCCTGTGGAGGTTTCCTCTGTGTGCATACGTGCATCGAATTTAAATTTCTCGCAACTGACACTGAAAATTGCAAAGTCTGTCCCACTGACTGCTTATGTGAGGTGACGTGGTGAAAGTCGTCTGAATCCTTCCTGGTCTTATGACTTTAAAAAGATAATACTAAGACTGAATAAATTTGCAGAGTAGGCCTTAAATAGAAGTTTTTTTTTAAAAAAAAAAAAAAGGGGGGGGGGGTGGCATTTCAGCTGTTGCTGGAAAAAAATGGGCCGGAAGAAATGTTGGAGGGGGACACGGGTATCTAGTTTGAGAAGGAAGGGTTCCCTGAGAAGTAGAATCTAAAGTGCTGCTTTATTTTTCCAGCTTGAAAAAATGCAATAGTCTGTCAGGGTTAACCCACATGGTTTTTGTGTGGTATTTACCATATTTTTCTGTTTTGGAATTAATTGTCTGGAATGCCATTGAAGGGAGGATTCTTTGCTTTCTCTTCCACTTTCATGTAACAAAAAACAGTTAAGCATGGCAGAACAGGCCATTTAAGGAAAAAGGTCATGGTTTTATCTAGGCCTATGGTTTTGGAACTTTTTTTGCAGTTGCACCTATGATGGTAATACAATGGCATTAGCGAGATAAGTAGTAGATAGTTGGTAGCTCTTCTCTTTTTATGCAAAACAAGAATACAGACATGCAGTCTGATGGGGTCAGATTGTGTTGCATTGGCTAAATCTCTACTTGTTGACTAACCCACTGTAACTGCTTGCATGCTCTTACCCTGTCCCTATTTGTGAGGTAAAGTGTGTTGGCTCAAATGTCGAACGGTGAATGAACCAGCTGCAACATGTTGGTAACAAAAAATAGAAACATACAGCCTTAATTTTGCACAACCTTTTTCTCTACAGCTCTGATCAGCACTGCTGATGAAAAAATCCGTCAAAGCAGAAGAGTGATAATTGTTTTAGTACCAGAACCCTCCTGTTACAGTATTCTAGAAGACGTGTCTGAAAAGCAGCTAGCCATGTATAATGCTCTTATCCAAGATGGCATTAAAGTAATTCTCATTGAACTTGAAAAAATACAAGATTATGCAACCATGCCAGAATCCATCAGATATATTAAGCAAAAGCACGGGGCTATCCGATGGAAAGGGGACTTCTCAGAAAGGTCTCACTCAGCACGTACCAGATTCTGGAAGAAAGTGCGCTACCACATGCCATCCAGAAAAAATGGATCTTCATCAGGATTGTGCTTATTACCAAAAGACTTTAATTCTCCCTAAATAACAAAGGAAAAATGACACTTAATGACTGATTCAATTCACATAGTTGGTGATGGATTGACTGAAGGTCCCATGTATCTGTTTTGTGCAGACAATCTTACCCAAATTTTCTGTATTGAAGGTACTACAACTTCGTCTGCAGATGTGAATCATTTTCTCTTCTGGCTAGATCAAGAGAACGCCTTAAAATGTCGTCAGTAGCACAGTGATGACATGGAAACCACATAGGAAGCACATGAGGCCTTTTCCAAGAATTGCACTGTGATTTGGTGGAATTCTTTTCGTGTTAAAAATGGAAGGGCGGAAAAAACTATCAAAAAACCAGAAAACTTGTTTTTTGCAATTAAAGGTTGAATATGAAGGGAACTATATTAATTATAATTGTGATATTATGTAATGGGCATGGTTGATGACAGTAAATGTTTTTGTTTCAATTTTTTTAATGAAATGACACAAAACTTTTCTTTGTTACAAGTTTGTTATTTGCCTTGTTCAGTTTGCTGAAAGATAAATCCCTCTCTGTTACTGCATCAGTGTGTTATTGTCCAAGAGAAAAGGTAAGAGACAATCCCAGCCCCTCAAAAGTGCTATTGAACCTGACAAAGGTTAAATACTCTTCCCTGATCTTTTTTTACGTTTTAAAGAATTGTACCATTTTTAGTCACTTGTCCCATGTAGACATCATAAAAATACCATTGTAATGCTGTAGTGAATCAAAAAATTAATCTCCAGAGGATTTTTTTTTTCCCCCCCCAGTTAAGTGGCTTAGTATATTTGTTCCACTTGGGTAAAATAAGAACAATTAGCTAATGACACAGACTCTCTCATGGGGAGTATAGGATGGTTGGCTTCATCCGCCTTACCTTAAGGACCAGATCAAGGGGCTTCAGGGCACCCACTTCTCGTGGGCTGCTGTTGCTGAAGCAGAGCAGGTCTTCCCTCCTGTTCCCAGCCAGGGTGCTGGCTCTAGCGTTTGTCAGCTCTGGAAGCTGAAGCTGGCTGAACAGACTAATGTGGCAGAAATCGTTCTTTTCCTTGGGATAGTTTTCTCCCAGATGAGTGAGTTTATCCGGTTCCTAGAGGGTTCAGAGTGCAATGGGAGAAGAAAAGGGGTGGTGGAACCATGCTTTTTGGCTCCAGATGTGTTTAGAAAATAGAGGTAAAATAGCATTGTTGCCCAGTACTCCTTAAAGTGAAAGAGAGATGCCCTGTGTTACCCCCTGCAGCTGCTTGCTTTTCTCCTTTCCCTCTGCTCTGATGATGTAAGGAATCTGAGGTGACTCTCTACTGAATTTGGCTTGAGGCTGGAGTTGCAGCTTCCAAACAGCTGTTTGGGAAAGGAAGTTGTTAAAACTTACTGTGCATGTTGAATCCTTTCTCCTTCGTTGTTGGTTTTTTTTTAAACAATATTATTTATGCCACAATTGTTAACTCTGAAGTTATGTTTGACTTGTGTGTAGGCAGTGATGTAGTTTGTAATGATGAATTCTTTTTTCAGGGGAGGTAATTGATTTGATTGATTTAAAAAAAAATATCAAATTGTTTAATGGCATGTTCATAGCTCTGAATTTTATAGGAGTAGGAGATGTGAGCCAAATTGCCTGTGCCTTTCAGTCTGTCCTTGAAAGTTACATTTTTAAGTTATGAGATCTATTTGTATATGGAAGCTTCAGGATTTGACTGTTACTGCCTTTGACTGCTGCTTGCAACTCTTGAATTCCTATGTGTGTCCTATCAGCTTCTCTCTTGCAGTACCTTTTGCCCTCCTTCCATTCAAACTCCAGCCTGTCTTTTCCCATGCAGCTCCCTTATCTTGGAACAAGCAACTTACTGTTGTGTCAAACTCCATCACTTTCCAAGCTGTCCTTGAAGGCTGTTGCTAATACAGTATTAGGCAGAATTTTTCCCTTTGAGTTGGTCCTTTGATACTGCCACTTCTTCATTTGAAAAAACTCATGTTCTGCATCCTTCAGAATTTGTCTATTCATTTTGACACCGCAGTGTGGGCTTTTTCTTCTTTCACGGCTCAAGCGTTTATCTTCCTATGCCTCCATCCTCAGCCAAACGAAACTGATAGGGTGAGGTGCCATTCCACAGAAGAACTGCTCCAGTGAACGTGGGATGGCGTGACCCTTGTGTTCTGCCTGATAAGTGACAAAACCAGTGGAAATAGGTTCCTCTCCCACCTAAAGTGCTTTGGTTACCTCAGTGTATGCTGGAAACTTGAAACTCTGCTTCGGGGAGACAGTGCCTTCTGAGTTTTGTGAATTGAGTCTGTGTTTGGCCAGAATGGAATAAGAATCTCTTCATTTCAGGATAGGAGGGGAAAAAAGTGCATTTGAAACATCAGACTATTTCATACTGCCATGGTACTGGAGCGTTTTATTGGTGAATGTGTCATGTATGTAATAGACCAATGCACGTGCTTATATTCTGTTCTCGTTCTGTGTTTTAGTTAAGACAGAAGTGTCAAGGGAGGATCAGTTCTGGTCATGAAGTGCCACATTCACTTAGCTGTTGCACACAGTCTGCTTTTAAATACGGTGTGGGTTCAGTGACAGCCTGTTGTAGGGTAAGAGCCTTGAGATCCATCTGAAGTTACTGAGATCCATCTAAGCAAGGCTAATTGTTACGGTTCTCATCAATAGAAGAATTTAGTACGACAGAAGCTGTACGGGTTGGTCACAGAACTCCTCTGTAAGAAGATCCCTATACCAAACGTGAAGATCCCTATACCAAACGTGAAGACTAGATACTGGAAGTATGGTATTTGTACTCTGAGGACTAGGGTATAATACCGACTTTGCACTTCCACCTTGTCAGCTCGCAGTATGCGGGCCAGCCAACAGAGTTCCAGCGACCTCGGGCCTCCTGAATTATTTTTGCTGACTGGAATAGATTGAATGAAAAACTGCTACTTGTTATCCCTACCTTTAGGGATAGGAAAGTTATTTTACTGAGCCAAAATACTGGTTTTTTAAAAAATATTTGTTCCTTTCGATATATTTATACAAATGATGCTAAAGTTTTCATGTGTGTTATGTAAAGGTATTTTGAAGAAAGGTCCATTTTTTAATTCAATAAAGGCACTACATATTTTTTCTCGCAGCACTGCTGGCTTGGTTTTTTTTTTTCCTCGTTCCTCCACTAAAGCATGCTGAGAATGAACAATGGCAAGCAGCAGTCTTGACTTGAAGTGTCTTAAACAATACTGCTATATTAGATCTTCATTCAGGCTGCTAAATATCTGTGTGAGAGAGGTTCTCATTAACCATAGTGTTAATCTGGTCTTGGCACAACATTGGCACTAACCACCTCGCCCTGCCTGGACAAATGGGAGCTGTGAGCTTGGCTCTGCGCTGTCCTGTACTCTCCTTGCAGTGAGGTGAAGCTAGAGCGGCCGAAGGCTGCTGCCTCGCTCTCTGGGACCAGCACGGTCCCCAGCAGTGCCCCGCCGAGCAACCTTCTGCTGCAGCTCCTCAAGAGCTGGGGGAAATGCAGGAGACCTCAAATGGAGGAAATGTGAAGGGCTTCTCAGCGGTAGCGGAGAGGCAGCCTTCTC